CATGTAAACTGCACATAATGCAGTTTTTAAATTAATTTATAAATAATAAAATTTCTAAGCTATTTGTTAAAATATATTCAATTACACAATGGCTGTCATAGCATGTTTCATAACAGATTAATTTAAACATACATTAAATAATTAAGACTAACAGGTTTAGTAACATATAATGAGTATATGGTGTAATATTTTGCAAAATGCGCCTCTCTAGACTTCATTTCTCTAGTGAACTAACGAGCTGTGGACACTGATGACTTGCTGAGGTAAATTAAATGCTACGTGACATTTTATTTCCACGCTGTATTGTTGATGTCTTTCCGCGGTTGAAACACTGATTGAGCAATTACATGAGGCATGAGATGTTCAGTCATGTTTATTCGCGTTAAAACTAGTAGTACAGAGGAAGGAATGACCGCGTTCACTCGCGCTCCGCTCTGCACAAATCTGCGGGGCGTCACGGCTCAGACACGGGAACCGGAGCTGATCGCGTCCGCTCTAGTCAATGCTTGTGTTGGGATTATATACCAGCACGTTTCTGAACAGTCCCAGAAGCGGCTCTCCAAGGTGTTTATACAGCGATCTGTCATGCCACATAAAAGACGGTCAAAACGCCATTTATTATTTGAATTTCCGGAGAAAAAAAAAAAAAACTTTATTCGTTCGGTTCACATGCGTACCGAACCGAAAGACCCGTACCGAAACGGCAATAGGGATTTCGCCTAGGGCGTCAAATTGGCTAGAAACGGCCCTGGGCCCATGGCAAACAAAGTAAACATTGCATGACAAGTAAAGGTTAAACGATTGTAGAAATGCTATTTATTTTAAGGTTTTAAAGTGAAATCTTAACATTATGTAGGCCTATTCTTGGAAACGAGCTGGCCGCAGAAATCACACAGAACAGAACGAAATGTTATCATTTCATATGAAGTAAACGAGTAAACAATTTAATAATGCAATTGAAAACAGGTAATTGATATGACAACTAAAAACAACAATAATAATAAAATGAATGCCGCGATTTCAATATTCATAAGGATTCATTTTTAGGTGTCGTCAATTACGTCAGTTGTGTACGTTTAAATGCTGAAAATACGTCAGTATTTGTATATTTAGATGCTGAAAATACGTCAGTATTAGGGTTAGGGTTAGGTTTTTGTGCCTGTAAAAACATAAGTAAATGTACGTTTTATAGAACAACATTTTACGTAAAATACATACGAATTATCATGAGATCACGTCAGCCCAGCAGCCACTTTCATCCCAGGTCTCCCTTATAGATTTACTTCATTGCAATTTCAATAAGATTCATAGTCTTAAGTCTCCTCTGCTTCTTAACTGCTGATATTCTAATAAACGACTACAGATGAGAACAGTCTGGACAGAACAGGCACCATCTTGCTTTGATCCAGCGATCACAGTATCAAGGGAGAGAATTTCTCTAGTGAACTAACGAGCTGTGGACACTGATGACTTGGTGAGGTAAATTAAATGCTACGTGACATTTTATTTCCACGCTGTATTGTTGATGTCTTTCCGCGGTTGAAACGCTGATTGAGCAATTACATGAGGCATGAGATGTTCAGTCATGTTTATTCGCGTTAAAACTAGTAGTACAGAGGAAGGAATGACCGCGTTCACTCGCGCTCCGCTCTGCACAAATCTGCGGGGCGTCTCGGCTCAGACACGGGAACCGGAGCTGATCGCGGCCGCTCTAGTCAGTGCTTGTGTTGGGATTATATACCAGCACGTTTCTGAACCGTCCCAGAAGCGGCTCTCCAAGGTGTTTATACAGCGATCTGTCATGCCACATAAAAGACTGTCAAAATGCCATTTATTATTTGAATTTCCGGAGAAAAAAAAAAAACTGTATTCGTTCGGTTCACATGCGTACCGAACCGAAAGACCCGTACCGAAACGGTTCGGTACGAATACGTGTACCGTTACACCCCTAATCAGTAGACCGCAGGGCTGACAGCAGTTCTCCTGTTTCAGTGTGTGGGAGTCTGTCATTACCAGCACCTGTGTGTCTGTCAACACAACACCAGTCAGAGGCCATTGTAGCTCAGGGATGCAAAGAAAACATTAGCAGGTGCTGTGTGTGTGGGAAAGAGGGAAGGAAACAATAAAGGTATGGTTTCATATCACTAATATATGTTTGGCTAGAAGCAGTATTTGACTCCGCCCCCTCAATAGATTGACTGCTGCTGTCAGAGTCCAGGACTTTGTCATTTCTGTCATTCCTCTCGCTTCCCCTTTCCCTCTGCCTTAGAGGACCAGTGGGAAATCACCATTCTTCAGCTTCATCTCAGCCTGCTCCCTAATGTCCTCACAGTAATTGGACTTCTCAATCCTGTTAGGCCTTTTAGTTTAGTTTTTTTTTCTGTGCTTTTTGATCATTTTGGCATCTTCATGGTTAACACTCTCCTCTTTGTGCTTGGAACTTCATCCATAATGACCAGTGGGTCTTCTGTCTCAAATCCCATATGATATACATCTGTTCATCTGTTATAAGGGTTTCATGGCTACTAGTTTCCTGATGGTTTGGATTAAACAAGTTGGCCAATCAGAAGCAGGGAAAAGGAGACGCCCATGGGCAACAATAAATAAAAACATTTGTAACTAACTGTTTTTTATTATTACTGTTTTGCAATTTCTCATGATAAACAGAGAATTGATGTGGTAAGTGGTTGATAATGTGTTCTGAGTGGTTTTTCAGCAGTTTTCTAGGTGGTTAAGTCAAAAGATATAACCATATATCCATTGACTTATTTATATATCAACCACAGTTTCTTCTTTCAATGCAAGTCTAATGGTTTTATTTGCCAAAATGCCATCAAAAACTGTGAGTTTCAAAAGTAATAGCACACCTCTGAAATACAATAAAATAGAAATAGAAATGTTGCCTTGCCAACTAAGCAAATTGTGTTAAAAAATAACGAAAAATAAGTTACTAAAACTAAAGTTTTATTAAATAGTTAATATAGTTAAGTAAAAATAAGAAAATAAAACTAATAAACCTATAAAAGCATCTATAATAATAACTATA